GCGGCGCAGCGCCGCCGCTTTCGATATATCTGCGAAAAACCGCAAGAGGGTTAACACCCAACCCCCGCCCGGCGCGGATTAATTTAAGGTTTTTTGTATGACTGAAGCTGATGTCCACATGGTTTTCAAAGGGTAATATCGCTGCTTTGAGCTTTCCATGTTTCTTTCATGAAGCTTCCAGGCAGTCATTTTTTTGAAAATGACTGCTACCAGTCAATGGGAAAAAAAGAAAACTTTATCAATTATGGAGATATAGAATAGCAATGAAACGCCAAAGAGGAAGATCACAAGATCGTAGAATATCAACGAAGATAACACGGAAGGGGTGGCGTTGCAAAGCAACACCCCGAGAAAAATCTGATCTGATCTGATGTTTTTCAAATCCTGAATCCAAGAATGATACTCATTGTGCAAGGAGTATCATGATAATCCATTGAGGGGAGGTCACCCAACCCTAACTCATCATACCCAACCCATCCTGGGCTTATGCAAAGGTAGGTGAGGTGTTAGGGTTTGGGTGGGTGTAGGGTTGGGTTGTCAGGCTTGGTCAGGGTAAGTTTGGTTAAGTTAGGTTAGGTTGGATTAGGCTGAGCTTACTCAGATTTGCTAGGCAAGGTCAGGTAACTTCACTTCAATGAATTATAATGATACCTATTTGCTGCCAGACATGTGCATGGATCCGAGAAAATGGATCTGGGATCTGATCCCCCGAATACTGATCTCGGATCCGTCGGGACCATAGATCCAGCTCTGTAATTTATCGAGAGATCCATGGGGATCACAGATCCGAGTCTCATTTTTTGCTTGAGATCCAGTGAGATCATAGATCCTCACTTATTTTTTTGTTAAAACATATATAAAAAACTTGTTTCAAGTTTCAACTCACAAACGTTCTGTTTTAGTGATTTTATGTGATCGCACGTCATAATCCACAGTTTTGTGTCACTTATTGGCATAGAAACCCATTAAAACATGGTTTCAAATGTGGTACATGGTGGGATCCACTCAGATCATAGATCCATGTTCTTAATTTATCGTCAGATCATATGTCATAGATTCAAGATGTATTTTTCACACCAAATCCGGTGGGATCATAGATCCCAACCTGTACTTTGCTTCGACATCCACTGAGATCATAGATCCATTACTCGGATACATGCACATGTCTGTTTGCTGCACTTATTAACATTATTTTTGGGATCCCAAGTATTGAAAAACATGGAAAAGAGCAAATTTAATCTTGGAAAAATCTGGTGCTTTAGTGTTACAGTAATTTTCATCTTAACCCCACCATTCATTGCATTTGATGTGTTGTGTTTCATTGCAAAATGTTTGCTTGTTTTACATAGCATTTAATAAAGAAATTAAATCAACACAAATGAGACATTTACAAGTTGCAAGATCAAGGACATGCTGACTGGAAAACGTAATCATGGGCTCTGTCAATGGGGGGGGGGAGGAGTTGCAGGGGTTAAAGCCACCCAATAATTTTGCTTCTGCAATGCCAACCAATAGGTAGTGATGCATTTACGGATCCAACCCCCCAATCCTGAGAATGTGTCAGAGCGCCCAAGTGGAATGAATATATGCTGCTCAAAATGAACTTTTCATAAACAACAGTTGATCATAAAACAGTGACTTTTAACAAATTTCAAGGCTTTTGGGTCAGAACTTTAAAATGGCTTAAGATATTTTGCTCAAATGCCAACCAATTAGGTACCTATGCTTTAGTGCAGGGTACATAATAAGTGCCTACTGCCTAAGCTGGAACCTGAGATATACCTAAGCCAAAAGCAAAGAAGCTCCGGGTGGGGTTACTTTCAGAAGTGCTCATGAATCAAAGTTACCTGGCCTGTCAATACCCCTGGTTTTAAAGCAGCCCTGTTTTACAGTACAAAGTTTAAATATGTAAATAACATGTTAATGTGTAATGCCTGACACAATTTGTATGATAAAATCCAGGATTTCTTTGGTTGGCATTAACAGCAAAATAGGTACCAATACCTATAAACATCTTTGAGCCATATAAGATCAGGGCCCTGTTTCACCGGTGATAGCAGCACGCTGCTATCAAATTGCGCGAGCTGACGTAATGTGATGACGTCGTACTGCTGACGTAAGGGGCAATTCTGGCGCACGATTGCCGCAATATTGTTTTACGTCATCAACTAAATGGTCGAAGTTTAAGTCCAAATTTTCCTTAAACCCAACTTCTTTTAAATACATCATATTAAAAAATATATGTTACAAATAAATATACTATCATGACTGTGTAAACTCTTACTTTTAAGCACACACGTCACTTAATGCCGTGGCCAAGGTCGCGGCATTCGTACGCCAGAACTGCCCATCACGTCAACAGTATGGCGTCATGACATGACGTCAGCCGTGCTGCTATCACCAGTGAAACAGGGCCCAGACGTAGCTATATTATCTATGTTGATTTGCACTTGCCAAACTGATGATGTAAAGCAAAAGATGAAACATGAAAATTTCAATTCTGAATGCAAAATGTATTTTGATGAAAAAATGTACCAATAAGAATACCAGCCAACACTTCTACAAAGGCCCTGTTTCACGGGCACTAGCAACGCGCTGCAAACGCTTTTCACGAGCTGACGTCATATGGTCACGTGACACTAAGGGCGGTTTGTGTCATCCGTCAGCTCCTTCATAGCTGCGAATGGAACAGAGTTGCCGATACATTTGCATTCAAGGCGACAGCAACTCTGTTCCATTCGCAGCTATGAAGAAGCTCACGGATGACACAACCCGTCCTTAGTGTCACCCACGTGACCATTGACGTCAGCTCGCAAAAAGCGCTGCTAGGGCCCATGAAACAGGGCCCAGAATGCACAAGACCTGGACTTAGCTGTTAAAGAATTACATTCTTTTCTAAATAAATAGCCACTGTGTAATACCTTATTGTTATGTAACAAAAGGAAACAAATATGAACGCCTTATGAAACGAGAGGAAACATAAATATGAACGATTTTCTTCCAATATATTTGCATTGAACTCAGTGAAATATAGGTAATAAAAATGAGGGTGCATCGGAGAGGATATTGATATTCACGGCTTGGTCTCACCTTTATTATGCTAACTATGAACATTAATAGGGCATTTCCAGGCAAGGTGGGTCGGTCAATGCCATACCTACCTGACCAACTAAATAAAAACGAATTTCACCGAACTGTGCTTCGATAATGCAAAAACATAATTATAAAACCAAATGAAAACAAAACCTTACGGAGTTTGTTACTCAGCCTTGGGTCTCCTAACGCACAAAATTAATTGGACGCTGAACGAGGACTGTGACGTTTGCGCCTCTATATTCAATAAAGATGTGAACTTTCCCACACTTGTGTCCGTTATTATAAATTTATAGGTAGTACTATTTGTAAATAATAGTTTCAATGCTTAAAACTTCTCGTTAAACATAACTATCTCAACCCAGTTTTGTCAAACGTCACTGAAATCAAGGCCATACTGAAATAAGCAGCGAGTGCCCACTCCAGGCTCTACCGGTATCCGAAGAGCCTGGCGGTCTTCTCAGCTCAGTGTACGTATTGGGCGAATACGCCCCGGAAACGGTAGAGCATTTTTCTACCAGGAGACTCCACTCAATGCTTGCACGTGATTGGCTGCCGCTATTCCAATCGAAGCAACGTGATTGGCTGGCGGCATCTCCACTCGAAGCAACACGATCCAGCGCCACGGAGCGCCAAAGCTGGGGAACATTAGTGTTGCCAGCGGGGGAACTCCAAACGGGAAAGAGGGAAGGAGAAAGAAAAGATTTTGTAATACATTTCGGCCCAATGTAAGGCACTCATTCTCAACTACGAGCATCCAAGAGCTCACTGAGTCAATATCGTCGCCCTCCCTTAATTCCGTCGGGAGATATTCCACGCGAAAGCCATGGTTCCTTTCTTGTGATCGGGAGGTATCAATTGAAGTCTTTGATGATAGTTTCCTATGCTGGGGAATGGGCGTTGCAGTCTCTCCCTCGACCAATCAGAGGGCGGAACCGATCGACGATCTACCGGTTCCGAGTCTGGTGGAGCAGTGGACCTCTTATGAGCTTTAGCAAAAGGTGCTGGAGATGCCGGAGATGCGTATGCTCTACTGAAGCAAGATTCAGTCGTATCGGTAGAATGCATCCCGGAGCCAGCAAATGTAAACAAACGTTGGACAAAGCACGTGAGTCTGGCGAACATACGGCGCCAAGTGTAGGTCATTAATTTTTTTACATTAATGGCATGCATGGGCAGTGTTATGCTGAATATATTTATGTTGAAAGTCTTGAAAGTGGGTAGAGAAGAAGGTACCTTGTCAGTATCGATTTCTGTTTCAGTTTTGCATCGACATTGTTAGAGGTTCCAACGTATTTGATTGGTATCACCGGAGTTGTCATAATGATAAGGTTTGCATGGAGGATGTCAAATAAAAGGACATTACATTTTAGTCAAAATAAATGCATTGTTCATAGGTTTATTAATATGATTTAATTTTATTGAGAGCAAGCATTTTTGAAATAATTACACTGTTTAAGCTTAAAACAGTAGACGCCTAAAACATGGAAATTTTATATGAAGGCCCTCTGAAGCACCGTACTACTGTTGACAGAAAACAATGGGGAAAAGTCACAAAGCCTTTGGACAAGCCATCTGGGCCCAGCGCCTGAAAAAATTCGCACAACAAAAATGCTGGACGCCGGACATGGGCAGCAGGCCCGGTCCGAGACAGCCAAGGGCTGTCCTTGACCTGTATAACAAGGTGAGTTGGAGACATATTGAGCTTAGATCGCCTACCATCAATTGTTAACTTTCCGAAAAATCTACATTTTCTTAGTCTCTTATCTTAGTCTTCTTAGTCAGAGGTATACAGAGGTCTATGGTAATTGGTATGTATTATCATTAACATAATATATGATTGTATTTGTGTTTCAGGTCCAAAGATGCCCACGGCAGTGCGGCAGCCAGCAGCCGCTGACCTTCCGGGGGGTGGCTGCGCTGCAAAGAGGCTGTAACTGACTGGACTGCACAGTGTAAGAGCAGACAATTCATGGAGAACTTCTTGATGCCTAGTTCCCATATACTTGTGGTTTTAAATGACTTCTTTTTGGTACAGGGATGCAAACATACACCATAGAGTATGAGAAAGCCCTTATGAACTCATGTTCACATGTGTTTGATTAAATTATTTTTTTTTAAGAGAATCCTGCTCAATACGCATACCATAACAGTGCAGCCATTTTTCAGTGAGTAACTAGGTCTCATTCTTTTTCAGAGCCCCAGTCATCATGCACCATTCTTGCATCCTCACTAGAATGTCAGCTGTGACTGGGTGGTCCTATTTGATGCTTCTAATCACTATTTCTGACTAATTTATTTGCTTGGTGTTGGACATGTCGCTGTTTTGCTGTTTTGCTGTTGTTTTTTTTTGGGGGTGGTGGATGGCTTGGACAATAGCACAGTATAGTATTTTGAGTACATCTGTGGTGTCCTGGGCTGAGAGTTGTACCTATTACTTATAAAGGTGTGCTGTGTTGTTGCACAGGTCCCCAGGCTTAGTGCTGGTGCTTGCGAGCTAACACAACAGTGCAATGGTGTGGTGGCTGGTTAACTTATGTTCACAAGTTTGTTTTATCCCATTTATTGTTAACCTCACTGCTTTTCATGACATTTTTATTTCCTTGGTTTTGCAAATGCTTTGCTTGGGCTGCATACTTAGAGCATGATGGTCATGATGGTGGCTGAATTCAGTACGCTGAGCTGCATCCAACCCATGCTCTAGGACCCCCATGACAGGGCTGGGATCCAGCGGATCCGGCAATATGTTGAGTCCGGCCGTCTGGCGGAGCTGAGGCAGCGCCCCAACATCCAGCCCAATCTGCAGCTTGAGCGGCATGCTGCAGGCCAGGTAATTATAAACATAATATGTCATTGCCACCCAAACTGGCTGTTCACTTGTGTTGTTTGCTCTTAGAGTACCTCATTGTGTGGGCATTTCTTGTTCTTTGCTGCCAAAACATGATTACGGAGCGAACGAAGCGAGCGGAGTCTTTCGTAGATTAACGGAAATTTATGGGTATGAGCGGCCGGCCGGCCGGCCGTGCGGACGCTTTTGCGAGGCTTACATATATCTCAGCAACCACTTGACCGATTTACCTGCGGTAATTTTTGTAGGGTAGCTTCATTCCTTCTTCCAAGCAGACATGGGCATGGATCCCAGACAACCAATCACGAAAATCGAGATGGTCATTAGATGCATGTGGATGATCCCTTATGTAGGTGCCACGTGCAAAAAGAAGAGGTGTCAGTTTTGTAATAGTTGCAATACCGTAGCTTCGTGCAACTTTGGCCCACTTTTTTCGTTGAGCCTCAATAATTAAGTCATCTTTTATGTACAATGTTAAGCAACATGGTCTGGATAGAGGTCACCCCTTTTCCAGGCATGGGCCAAAGTTGCCCTTGGTGGCCAAAGTTGCACGAAACTACGGTATCTCGGTAACTACTCGGCCGATTGCGCTAAAAGTTGGCATGTAGGTAGGCACCCACTATGCAATGCATATCCATGTGCCAGAGTTGGGGTGCTGCTGCACGTGCGCACGTGCAGGGGTCGATTCCAGATCTCGAGAACGGCTGGACCGATGGCGCTCAAATTTGGTACGTGGTTAGGGACCGGTTAGTAGGGTGCCGTGCAAAAGTCAGTTGGGACCCATTTTGCACGTGCGCACGTGCAGGGTGCCGCTTCCAGATCTCGAGAACGGCTGGGCCGATTGTGCTCAAATTTGGCACATCGCTAGAGACCGGTTAGTAGGGTGCCGTGCACAACTCAGTTGGAGGTACCCCCTCGCAATTTCGCACGTGCAAGGCTCACCCTCTCGCTCGCTCCGTTAGTCGCCCCAAAAGGCGTTATACTGGTTATCTAATATCGCTTGGCAATGACACAATAGAAACCTGAAGGGTGGTCGAAAGCCTTCTGGAATAGGGTTAAGCTAAGCACTTTATCCTGTATCTCATTAATACTTAATTCTATTCTTTTCCAGGGACTACAGCCAGCGACCTCCACTTCCAGGCCTTCCTGATCGATGGTCTGGTTAGATGGAACGCGGATCGTCACCTGGCGGCGATCGGACAGGACAGCGCCCGCGAGGTCCGGTGCTACGGACGAGTACAGGGTGCTACGACGGCCGGATACGGGCAGCCGTCATCGACCTGTCGCAGAGGGTGCTCAAGAGGGACCTAGTCACCAGAAGCGAGCCTCTTCGATACACGGGTAAAAAGTCGCATGCTACAGTCACACAAATTATACAGTACAAAAACTGCCAACTAATGCCAATGATCGAATGCAGTTAAGTCCGCTAGCCTCCATTGAATTTGAACTTATGAAAAGGTTGCCGCTGCCGCGACAACCGATCAGCTAAAATTATTTACTACCTAATACCTATATACATAAAACGAACTTACGTACCAAGAGTCCAAGACGTGTCAAGTTGTCACAAGTCGTGAAACATAATGTTTCACACATGCTTCTGTTTACATTCAGGTGAGCTCGTCGGGGTCGCCTACCTGTACGGACAGGGCCGTAGGCTCGACGAGTACAGGGTGGGTGACCCCGACACGCAGCACGGCGAGGATGACGATGTTGGCGATGACCTCGACGAGGGATTCGAGGACGTCGAGGACATCTTCGTGACCGACGCGTACGATGGTCTCGAAATGCCAGTAAGTTAATTAAAGAGTACCGGAGGGTGTGTCGACAGAGGTGTTTTTCTCACAGATTCGCGTTAGACAAAGATATAAAGTGGCGCGAGCATGCCAAAACATTAGCCCTGCAGTTGGTTTTGCGTAATAGTGCGATTTGACGAGGCTCGTGCGGGTCGAAGTTACAGCGAAAAAGTCGCAGTCGACGGTGCTGCCACCTACATTGCCAATAACGGACACTATCATATCGTGATAATTGGGGTAGTTTCAAATGAGAAATGACTTCTATTTTTGTTCAAACTGCTTTAGAAGAAATGAAACAATTCGGAAACATACATTTTTCCCAAATATCGCGTTCCATTTTTTCCTGTTGAGTTGTTAGGAAAGTGGTAAATTTCAAGGTTGACGGCTAAAAAACGAAACAGGAGGAACAGAGCAGGAATCACGAAGACGTGTGCCGCGCCGATGCTGTAGCCTGTAGATAAGGGGTGAGCAACAGAACCAGCATACCTAACGATTTTGATTAGTGATAGATATTTTTCTCTAAATGAAAGACTATTAGTAACTCAGGCAAGCCCTCTAATATAGGTATCGACAGGGTTGCGGTAAAAGGTACAATCGATGGCACATTACAATTATTCTGAGTTGGGAAACAACACTCTTCAGATACCTACCATCAACAACCTCACTATCTCCTATATGGGAGCTATATCATCTGATTCCAGCGCCCTGAAAACAAACAGGTTATCACCAAATATCTCTGTATTAGCGCCTACCGATATATGCTGAATGACGCTATCAATACCCGACATTTGTAAAAGGTGATTCGCCACACAGACCGCCGGCGTCTGAGGGGTTGAATCAGTGAGCCAGATTGCCAGCGACTCACCGCTGAACTACCGGGCATAACAAAACGGACGATGCGACATGACTCAGAGATCATCACAGACGCGACGGTAAGCCGCCAACAGCTCCTCTGATGTTTGCTTTAAAAATGTTGGCCAAAATTTAAGATCGATGTAATCTAGTGCTAATATTTGGGTTTTCGGTTTTCTAATTCCCTCTATTTCGCGTATTGCTTGAAAATAGCTAGAAGGTTTCTTTTCACCGATAGCAAGTGATTTAGTTCAAAAGATTGGTGGTGCTGCTACTGGCAACATTATTGGCGCAATATAACCGTTCTTTAGTCACCGTGTCAATAATATTGACACAGTGAATGACCACCGACTCTCACTGAATGTATCTTCCTGTTCCGCAGGAAGCTGAGCTGTGACTGACTGGCCATTACGTGTCATCAGTTCGGCCAGTAGCGGCGGAATACCTTCAATTAAGAGGGGCACTGCCGACTTTTGGTCCCATATTCTTTCTATGCAACGCCCATAGGGCTAATGTTAAAATGCCAAAATCAAAGGGGGCACGGTGCCGCGGTGCCCTCCCCGTTCCGTCGCCTATGAGTTCGGCTTGACAAGGGAACCGCGAGGTGGCAGATAGCGATATTACGTATCTGAACGAGGGTTCCGCACGAGATTAGATGGCCTTCGGTTACATTTGTCGTTGCGTCTGTGATGATCTCTGAGTCATGTCGCATCGTCCGTTTTGTTATGCCCGGTAGTTCAGCGGTGAGTCGCTGGCAATCTGGCTCACTGATTCAACCCCTCAGACGCCGGCGGTCTGTGTGGCGAATCACCTTTTACAAATGTCAGGTATTGATAGCGTCATTCAGCATATGTCGGTAGGCGCTAATACAGAGATTTTTGGTGATAACCTGTTTGTTTTCAGGGCGCTGGAATCAGATGATATAGCTCCCATATAGGAGATAGTGAGGTTGTTGATGGTAGGTATCTGAATAGTGTTGTTTCCCAACTCAGAATAATTGTATTGTGCCATCGATTGTACCTTTTACCGCAACCCTGTTGATACCTATATTAGAAGGCTTGCCTGAGTTACTAATAGTCTTTCATTTAGAGAAAAATATCTATCACTAATCAAAATCGTTAGGTATGCTGGTTCTGTTGCTCACCCCTTATCTACAGGCTACAACATCGGCGCGGCACACGTCTTGGTGATTCCTGCTCTGTTCCTCCTGTTTCGTTTTTTAGCCGTCAACCTTGAAATTTACCACTTTCCTAACAACTCAACAGGAAAAAATGGAACGCGATATTTGGGAAAAATGTATGTTTCCGAATTGTTTTATTTCTTCTCAAGCAGTTTGAACAAAAATAGAAGTCATTTCTCATTTGAAACTACCCCAATTATCACGATATGATAGTGCCCGTTATTGGCAATGTAGGTGGCAGCACCGTCCACTGCGACTTTTTCGCTG